ATATGTTTATGAAAGATAAAGAGATATTAAGTAGTGTAACGGGTTTTGAAATAGTGAAAAAAGTGAAATATTTGGGTGTTGATATTACTGCTTCTAACGTTAAATTGTATACAAATAATTATGATAAGTTATGGAGTAAAGTTCAAAAGGATTTGAAGGAGTGGAAGAAATTACAATTATCATTATTGGGAAGAATTTCGGTGATAAAAATGAATGTTCTCCCAAAGTTTCTTTTTCTGTTCCAGATGATACCTATTTTAAAAAAGGATTCAAATTTGGAGGAGTGGCAAAGAGGTATCAACAGGTTTATCTGGCAGGGGAAAAAACCTAGGGTAAAATTTAAAATTTTGCAAGATGCACGGGAAAGAGGGGGCCTTAAAGCCCCTAATTTAAAATTATATTATGATGCGGTGGTTTTAACTTGGATTAGTGACTGGATTAATTTAACCAATAGAGATATCTTGGTACTTGAAGGTTGGGATTTATATTATGGATGGCATGCTTATTTATTTTTTGATAAGAAAATTGATCGTATTTTTAAAACTCATATTTTAAGAGTTGCACTTTTGAGAGTTTGGAAAAAGTATTCTTATAAGCTAAATTTGAAAATTCCAATGTGGGCTATTCCAGAACATGCAATACAAGGAATTACAACAGGTGCAAAATTAGAAGGAATTGTTTATAAAGATTTACTTATGTTAAGAGGACAGGACTGGCAAATTAAATCATTGGATGAGTTAAGACAGGATAACGTACTCCAGTCCTGGTTCCTATACTGTCAGTTGGTTGATAGATGGCATATAGATCAAAAATTGGGTTTAATTTTAGAAGATGTGAACTTGATAAAACAGATTAAAGATCAAAGTGGAGCCCATATTAGGAGAATATATAGTGTTTTGATAGAAATTGATTCGGAAACAGAACTAGTTAAAGATTGTATGATTAAATGGGCACAAAATATTCAAGAATCAATAACGCTAGAAACTTGGGAAGTAATCTGGGTAAGAAATGTCAAGTTCACTCAAGCACAGAATTTAAGGGAAAACTTTTATAAAATGTTTTATAGATGGCATTTGGATCCCCAAAAATTGTCTTGCATGTATCCAAGTTTGCAACCAAAATGTTGGAGATGTGATAATATGGATGCAACTTATTATCATATTTGGTGGACATGCAGGGATGTTAAAGCCTTTTGGATTAAGATTTGGTGGATTATCCAACAGATTTTTAAGAAAAAGATAAAATTTACACCGCAGCTATTCTTATTGGGTATTATGGATAATTTGGATCAAAAAGAAATGAAATTGATGTTGTATTGTATAACAGCAGCAAGGATATTAGTTGCTCAAAATTGGAAAAAAAAGACGTTACCAACTATGGATGATTGGAGACAGAAGGTATCGTATTTTGCGGAGATGGCAAAAATATCCGCATACCTGAAGGATCATTCTCAGGAGAAATTTATCTCAATATGGAGAAGATGGATAGATTATATTCAGAGAAAATATGAATTGAATAATTATCATGTAGCTTTTGATTAAAAAAAATTTTTCTTTTTTATAAACATATATACATAAAAACAAATAATTGTTATATTTATAAAATTTGTATGAATTTTAATGTTATTTTAGAGTCATAGTAAGTTTATATTAGTGTGTTGTAATAATGAGTAGCTTTGGATAGAATGGGATTATTGTGTGTTTATTTCCTGGTTCAGCTCTGGGAAGTCCGGGGCGGGGGAGGGGAGAAAGGGAATAGATAGATGTATATAAACTGATGTACTGTAGATTTATATATGTGATTCTTTTTTAAGGAGGTGCCCGGTGGATACCCCAACTGCACCAGACGGGATGGTTGAGAGAGAAGGGAAGTAGGAGAGAGGGAGGAAGGAGGAGAGGTTGAGGTTTGGGAGGAGGAAGGTATGGAAAGTGAAAGAGGGGGGTGCAGGGGGGGCACCGGACACTTCCATGAATGTATTGAGTAGTGTTACAGACTTTATAAGTTCAACCAACGTTTTAGAAAAAAAAATCAGTTAAAGACTGCATGTTGCTAGCCAGACTCTGTATTCCCTCTTGGGTGTCAGCTTCCTCCTTCTCTCTGTAATCCAATATGTTGTTGCTCAAAGCAGGGAGGAAGCAAAGAAGACAGAGAAGATATTTTCTGACTATATTGATCCAAAAAGTTTTTGCAGGTTAATTAAATACAAATCAAAAGTCATGTGCTGTGTTTCCATATGGAAAGCAAAAATGGATAAAAGCAGTCCAATAATTCAAAGAAACCAAGCAAAACAGAAAACAGAAAAAATCCAGCTGGGGTTGATATAAATCAACATTCAGCCAACCAATTAATCTTTAAATAACAAAAACAAAAGTTCAAAAAGTAAACTTAAAAATCACAGGCATGTTTACGATTTATTCTGGTAGGAAGAGGTATAAATGCCCATTGATTTTTCAGCTGCTCCCACAAGGAGCTGCAATCTTCAAGATTCCCCTTCCTGGGTGGATCCACAGCCACCCAAAAGTCATCTTGGGTCATTCCTAAATACTCCCTTTCAAATCCAGGGGGCAAGACTGCCAAAGAACCAGGTCTGGCAGCAAACATGATCATGAGTAAGAGATCAGCAGCCATCTTGTGGAGGAGACTTACACAACAATTTAGTTTGATGATAAGGGGCCAATTCACTACATTAAAAAATATATCCTGTAGGAAAACAATACTAGGAACTAAGAAAAGAAGGTACCTTCACATTCTGGCTCTGATGCATCCCAATGTCCAGAAACATCACATTGGAGTTCACTGGATCCATTAAGTTTAAATCCTTCTTCACAAGCAAACTTGCAGGTTGAATTCCAGGCAGAGTTTCCAGAAGGACCAGAGCAGCTCATGGAGCCATTAGCTGGAGGCTGTAGTTCACTGCAATACACAGCTGTAAATGACAGAATTTAAATTATCATTTAGAGTGGAAAAATATGGCCTGTTATATTTTCATATGGTATACATATACTCATATATCGTAATTATATATAAAAATGATGAGTTTGGAGATTAATATTGTATAAGTGGGCAAGGAAGTTTATTGACTTTGATGTAGTCATGCCTCAAAGTATTAGAAATTACAAATAAAATATTTACACATCATAAAGATGCTTATTTCATAAAATTCTAGTAAAATCCCTGTCACTACGATAAGTATGAAAAATGAATCTTGGCATGCACCGGTAACCAAAATATATTACTGGATAGTCTGATCTCTGTCTCTTACCTTCACAAACAGGAATTGGCTGACTCCAGTGCCCATCTGATGAGCACTGAATCTGGGGTGATCCTCTTAAAGTGTAACCCTTTGCACAAGCAAAATCACACGTTGACTTATACTTCAGTTCTGTATCATGATGGGAACAATTCATAAGGCTTCCTTCTGACTGAGGTACTGCTTGACATTTCACCACTGAAATAGAGGCAGATAGTGCTGTAAATCATCCCATATATGGTCAAAGAACAGAACATAGAAAAACAGCAACTCTTTGTGAGTGCAAGTAAGGCAATAAGATAAAACCTTCACCTTCACATGTAGGCTCCTGTCCATCCCATTCGCCTGATACTCCACACTGGAGCATATCGGGGCCTTTCAAAACAAAACCTTCTTCGCAAGAAAAATTGCAAGATGAATTCCAGGCATAATTTCCAGAAGGGTTGGAGCAGTTGAATAAACCATGCATAGGCTTCTGTAGTGCATAACATTCCACAACTAAAGACAGAATTGTATTCCATTAGATTAGGCATCTTCCTTAGTCAACAAGATGCCTATTGGCTGAAGACAAACTAAAGCTGTGAATTTCTTATCATAGTACTGAGGTTCCATTTAAACTCCTGATCTCTTCTCCTAATTATTTGTTTATTTTCTGTTTCAAAGTCTAGTACTAATCTCCATGATTTTTTCTCTATAACAAATAATTCATTTGTGTTTACTCCAGCCCATATAAATTATATTTCAACAAGATTTCCATTGTTGTTTTAGATTTGTGGATACATTCCCAATAAAAATGTCTTAAAATTCATTGTCCTTTTTTGACAGTGCACTGAAATTCAGAATAATCTAAGGGATATTCTTTCAGTGGAGTCAAAGGGACTAGTCTAGTTTAAACTGTACAATCCTTTTCTCCATGCTGAAAATATAACTCTTCAAATATTTTCTATAACTTATTTGCACTTTCTTTCTTAAAAACGGGTACAAAATTATTATGAACCTTCTTATGAACAAAGCCAATATTCATTTAACAGCTGTTTTACTAACTTAATAACTGCAGTGATTCACTTAACAATCGTGAAGGTTGTGAAATGGGGCAAAAGTCACTTAACATCAGTCTTTCTCAGCAACAGAAATTTTAGAGTCAATTGTGGTTGTAATAAGTGACAGATAATGAAATGTAGAATAGAATGTAATTTATATTAGTAGATTCCTC